TAACATTGAGAAAAGTTTGAAATATTTCTTCGACATAATCTGTACAAATCAAACATGCATATATATATACATGCTATGTGTAGGAAGTTTGTAGGATAGATTTTATGCTTATTTTAATCGAATTTTGATCGAGGGTGGGTTTTATAATATTGTATTAATAATATATTTATATGTAGTGCATGTGATAATATGTAATCCACGCAATTCAGCTTCTGGCTGCAATGTGGTTTCAATTTAATAATAATAATAATGCATTGATCAATATTTCACTATAATTATTTTGACAGTCAAATATGATACCCTCCTCAGACATCCTTAAATACACACCTATGGGTCATAGTCAGTGGGCATATTGACTTCACTAAAACATAGGCATAGCAAGAGACATAGATGGAGAATTATATCACTGTATAATACTGTATCAAATTGCACACGGAAATTACAAAAATCTGCAAGGCTGAAGACAGAAATAACAAAGAAAGCTCTCACAGACTAAACGAAATTGTCTTTCTTATAAGCTTTACCCAATTACTGTATATCAAGTTTAAGTGTTAGCATGTTATATAATGGTATGTTTATTAATTAAATCAGTTTAGTCAAACAAATTCAAGTTACGCACAAATATGTATAAAATACAAAATTAGCATACCATTCTCTTGTATCTGTCTGAAACTTTCTGTGCGTCAGCTGATGGCATGATTGTTGGGAATACACAAATTCCGATCTCGTCCCTTTTGAGCCATCTGTTGCCAACGAAGCTTTCACCTTCGACATGGGAAAACCGTCGCAAAAAATCCTCAGGCTTGAAATGCTCAGAACATATGACTAAATACGACGTCGGCGTCCATTTTGCACGTTTGAGGCTTAGTACGAAGTCAGTCCATTTCTTTCGTTTTTTTTTTCGCTTCGGGCCGTTCGTCCCCCGAATAAGAAATTGCATGCAACGATATTTCTTTTTCCTTATCTCCTATGTTGTTACAACCGGCAACAACGCATCTTTTCGGCATTTTCTCGCCGTTCGCATGCCTAACAAACTCGCCTAGCACTGTAAACACTTGTGTTGACACAACAGCCGGTTCACCAATTGACGTCACAAGCCCAGATCATCAGCGCTCGCTCGTGGGACAAAATGGCGTCGATTTTAGGGCAATTTTTCAAACTTTGAGAAGCCATAGAATAGCGAGAATTCAACCGATTAAAACAATTTTTTCATTTTTGTACTCCATAAATAGCGGTTATTGATTTTATGAAAAGAAAATTTAGGGGGTTAGTGGCACTTTAAATAGAGAATAATACATGAGTGCGCGGAAATACCAGATTTATTTCGAGTGCTGAACATGATATATTGATCAAAGTGTCGCTGTATATTGTCGTCATATATTGATCAAAGTGTCGCTGAATTTTCTAAGCTGTCATTCAAGTTTTAGCAAGCTAGTCATTCATATAATCATATTACTAGGGTACCTGCAAGGTAGGGATTGCTGCGGGCATTAAAAGCAAATAGAACTACAGTAAAAAGCACAAATTATATGAAGCACAGTCGCAGCGTCTAGTGAGCTGTGAATGGAACTGAGAAGAAGCAATATACATTGAAACAGCAAGTGTCATGCAAGTGTCAAGAGTCATGCAAGCAAAGACAGGGGTTAAAGGGCAATCAGAGGTGACATATATTAAACATGTGCGTCTCATTGACATACAGGAAATTAAGAATCAGTTTTCATATCAAGTCTGTTTAATGCTAGGCGCATCTACCACATTATATAGACTATATACACAGATTTATCACACTAAGAAACAAAACCTTGATAAAAATATAGAACTGATAGTGGCCAAAGTCCAAAACAAATGTAAGCGTAAGTTGCGTAACATTAGATTTGAAAAAGCTTTAGAAATTCGATAAAAATTCGAAGACTCGAGCGAGTTTAAAATTTGTGTTCTGCGCATAGAAAGCGGGCACGACCACAATTCCATGCGCTTAATAAAATTTAGTTCAAAACCCTCTCTCTGCATATATTAGGCTGCTGCTACGCTCGCTCGCTTCAGGCTCGCTCACTCCGCAGCAATTAACTGATGACCTCTATTATCATTCGATCCCCGCAGTTGCCACTGATTGAAAGACAATACAGCAGAGTGCGGACATTTATAAGATGTATACTAGGGTACCTGCAAGGTAGGGATTGCTGCGGGCATTAAAAACAAATAGAACTACAGTAAATAGCGCACATTATATATATCAAGCACAGTTATTACTCGCAGCAACTAATCAGGGGTTAAAGGGCAATCACAGGTGACAGATATTACTCATGTGCGTCTCATTGACATACATGTAAATTAATTATATAACACAAGTTTTTGCTATCCGATTTCATATCAAGTCTGTTTACTTCTAAGGCGCATTTACCACATTATACAGACTATATACCAGGGCTGCCAACTCTCCCGGATTATCCGGGAGTCTCAAGATTTTGGACCTAATCTCCCAGTCTCCAGATTTTGTCTTAATTCTCCCGGATTAGGATAATCACCAACGTCGATTTATGCACTAGCCATTTGATTCTTCGTTGTCAAAGGTTTTAACAATAAAAATTATTTGCGTTGCACATTCGTTTTGCTGGTAAAAATAAAATTCTTTCGTTGCTGCCTGCGTTGCTTTTAATCAGCGGTTGAATGGCGCCATTTTCCGTAAACACTTCATCTTACAGGTATTTTTTTACCCGTATTGACGCCATTAAAATGTCGATATTTTATTAAACTAGTACATAATATTGTGAAACTTGAAATCAACAGTTATTCAGGCAATTTATAGTATATACTGGACTTTTTGTATGTGCGGAAAAATTTTTTGACCCCTATAATGGTACACTGACCGAAATTTTTTGACCGAAATTATTACACTATAAAAATATAGAACTGTCAGTGGCCAAAGTCCATTGAGTGAACAACGCACGAATCAATGCAAAAATATTAATAAACGAAAATTAGAACACCGAATGCCGAACTGCCGAAGCGAAGGCCTTTCAATGCTTCCACGTATTCATGAAACATCACTTGATGCAAAATATGTCCACTTTTGAAGACCCGCTAGAAATATTGGTGGCTACGTGGCTACGTAGTGATTTTTAATTACGCATGTGTTGTGAGATCAAACTCAGATGAGACGGATTTATGAAAACTGCGCATACAAATGCGTACGACCACAATTCCATGCGACGCTAAAAATCTACTTTTTACTGTCTACTACACAAATTAGGTTGCTGCTTCGCTCGCTCGCTTCAGGCTCGCTCGCTCCGCAGCAATAAACACAACACGAATCGTGTTATTGTAAAACGCAATCACGCGTTTATGAATAATTTGGAAAAATGGTCCAGTTGAACAAGAAATTAAAGTTGGTTTTGAAATATCCGTTTATTTGTGCATGCAGATTATAATATTGATTATAATTTATAGAAACTACCGTTAGTTTGCAAATAATTAACTGTTTAAAAACATTTATATAATCTTAATGAACAATTTATTTCGATTGTTAAAATTACTCAATGAATAATATTGGATTACTGGTGTTTTCAGTATAATTCCCCATCGACATGCTATTGCTATAGAAATTTGCTAATACTCTGGTTTGCAAATAAAACTTCGAGACCCAATGTATATGAGTGAATTTATAGGCTATATAGCGATTAATTAAACCACACTTATAGGGCCTGTTCATATGGGAAGAAGTTATCCCGGTTAGCGAGAAAACTTTTCGACAAGTTTACGAGCGAGATCTCGCCTTGTTACGAAAATAATATGAAAAGTTACATTGCGTTCATATGAGACGAAAAGTTTTCCCGTGTACCGAGATTTCGCTTGTTGACAGGCGAGATCTCGGTGACCGGGATAATGTTTTTCCCATATGAACACAACTTTCCCGCTTAGCGGGATAACTTTCTGTCGTGTCAGCAACTTTTCAATTCAATTGATGTTCAGTGCCACGTCACAGCCGAAAACTTTACCCGGTAAGCGGGATAAACCGATAAAGTTTCTCCATATGAACAGAACAAAAGTATTTGGCTAGTCGAAAAGTTTTCCCGTTAACCGGGATAACTTTTGCCCATATGAACAGGCCCTAAGGAGTAAGGGGGTGATTACATGGAGAGTTTTCAGCCCTGGCCAAGTTTCATCCCGGTTTCCCGGGCTGAAATTTCAGCCATGTCTAAGGATAAAATCCTATTAAAACACAGCAAGCGATTACATGACCAAAATTCCAGCCGGGGCTGAAATTTCAGCCCGGTTTGAGCTGCCCGAGCTGAAATTTCAGCCCGGGCTGAAACTCAGCCCGGCAGCATGTAATGGCGCAAATAATTTCAGCCCGGGCTAAAAAAACAACCGTTTAAACGGCTTTATTTTGCGTGTTTGTTTCATCTTTAAATACTTTACATATAACCACAGTCTCACACAAGTCAAATATCGACTAATCAGCGTCTGATTGCTTCAAAGAAGCGTAACAGGCTTTAGTATTGTCCTATTTCGTGACAATCAGATTATTTCAGCCCGAGCTGACATTTCATGTAATCGTGATGCAATTACAGCTCGCTGAAACTCAGCTCGGGCTGAAAACTCTCCATGTAATCAGCCCCTAAGTGTCGCAAATTATTCAGCCCAAAATTTCGTAACGCCTATATTTTACAACATACTCCAGCCACTATTCATTGTAATTGAGGCAAACTTAGTCGTCCACCTCAATTCTTGCAATTGGTGTGATTTGGCCGCCATTATCATAATTCATTAATTTTAAGGATAGTGTCTTTTTAGTTTTACCCAACTACAATAGCGAGCTTAAGCATGCGACGTTTTTATCAACACATGACGTCACCCGAAAATTGGTATAACTAATTTTGGCGGCATTTTGCATCAGAGTGCTCGTGCAAGGAAGCAAAAAACTTTTAAAATCTTTCGTTTTGTCATATGTGTTAAAGATTACCACAAACTGACACAAACACAGTTTTTAATACCCCCGGCAATCTGACGACCGTCTTGACAAAAATTAACAACTTCGCTTGCTTATAAGCTCCCTAAATCCTATGTATTGATAATACTACTTAAACCTTTCAAAAACTAAATTAAACCGCTCACAAAATTAGGCTTAGTTTGCGGATATTGTTTAATTAATGCAAGCTTTCGTTGGTAGAGATGCAACTACCTGAAAAATATAAGGGGAGATTTCTCCTTATATTTTTCAGGTAGTTGCGCATCCCTCCATACCTACATTGGCACAGACATGCAGTTTAACTTAATGCATCTGCACCGTCACGTATTAGATCCAGTTTGTAAGGAACTGACGTCCACAACCGGTGGCCGTAGCTCATTGTTTAGAAAACGATCTGGAAATTCCACAATGTTTCCACGAACCTGTTGCAATTCATCCCTGGCTTGCTTCTCATCAGTATCAACAAGACCTTTGTTTTTTTTCCATCTTTTGAGACCGTCATAGTTCGCTACCTGATTGGTGGGGAGTATCCTGGATCCTGGAAACACCGTCTCGTAGATTTTAGTCATTCTTTTTTGCCTGACTTGAAATTCCTGAGACAAATGAGCTCTTTAGAGGATCTCTGACATTTCGCGTATTCGAGAGCCCAAGATGCTCCTTGTGAAGAGAACATCTCAGATTATGTGAGAACTTTCCAGCTTGGTATTGGCTATCATTCATCTTTCCGTGAATCATTTCCACATCTTCGATAATGACTGCTACCTCCGAATCTCGTCCCCCAAGCATACTCCGATCATTGATATTAGCTGAACCGATTATAGTAACTCGATCGTCGACGATCATCAACTTGCTGTGTACATAAATAATTTCGGTCGCCAATTTCTCGCCTAACGAGCCATGTGTTCGCAATCCATATACACTAAAATATTTTTTTATGTATGCACAAGGCATACCTCTTTCTTCCAACATGTGGACTAAAGAGTTTTCTCCGCTAAAAAGAGTCGCATAGTTCCAGTAACTAACCCCTGTTAAACCATTTAGGAAACTTTGAATCCAATCCTCGGGACCAAACTCCGGCTTCAGTGGCATTACTATCATGACATGGAAGTCCTTATTTTCCTTATAAGCACGATAAATTCGATCTACTATAGCCAATTGAATCAGATTCTCCACGTTCAAGAGTCTACCCGGTTGAGATGAGATGAAAAATTGGTTTTCGATATAAATATAGTGCTTAGAATTCTTAATCGCGTGAAGATAAGCGTTATAAATTGAAGCTTCGTGAGGTTGGCCAGCCGACCAATCGTCAACAGAACGAAGGACTTGCACCTTAGTATTTGTATACGAACTGATATCAGGGAGAATATACTCGGATACATCAAGTTCGGTTGGCAAATTATGGAGCTCCGACCAGCCAAGATCTAAAGCATTGTACCGTTGGATAAAATGCTTTGCTACATCCGAGACTGCAGCGCCGGTGAAAGCACACGCTACATCATGCCAAGGCATTCGGGGAATTTCACTTCTATCAACATAATCATAGTCGTCATACGGCCTTTCCCAATCAATTGTACTTTCGTTCGAAAAAAAAGTGTTCTTATAATCCTTGCCAACCCATCGAGAGTATCTGTCATCTGCTTCTCGATTCCCGTTTCCATGGTCTTGTTTGGCACACGGGTGAATTTTATAGTTGTCCATCAATTCGTGATTATGCGTATCCCAACGGCCAAAGCAAAGATCAATTCCTCCGACAAAAGCCACACTCCTGTCGACAATAACAAGTTTTTCATGATGGCTCCACCTAATTGTGCTTGGGTGTTTAATTGCGGTGAGCCAGGTTGGATGGCGATAAACTACTATATTACGGTGGTTATTTAGTACCGACTGTGTGTGGTTACTGCCAAGATCAAGAGCTAGTTCTGTTTCCCAGTATAGTAGAATATACACACGAGCACCTTCGTCAGCTTTCCTTATCAACATTTTATCCAGTCGCCATTTCAAACTGGCAACGCCATGATCTGGCCTTTTCATAAAAATATATGGATTCATTTGCCAATCAGTAATGAGTATTTCCTGCTTCGCAGCTTCAATGGCGTCAGCAACAGCGGACATATACTCTTGGCCATCAACGAACCATTTCACTTTACAGTCATTTTGGATTGGGGCGAATGAACCAAATGGATATGGTGATACAGACGATTTCAAAACATTCCATACATAGTAGGCCAAGGTCGCCGCAGCGCCTATAAAGCTCACTAAAACAACTTTATACAACATTGTAAAAATGTTCAAATACGAATATTATATTACTCTTGCCAAGAGTGATAAACCGGGATTCCGGGAATTCCATGAAACGAGGAATCCGGAAATTAAGGTTGTATATCCCTTATGGTAGATAGTCTACATAAAGAAATAGTTTTATAAAGTAGTAGTTAATATTTGTAATATGGTATATTTATTTAAATAACTTATATTTATTTTTTATTTGTGCATGCCAAGTGATATTTTTTGATTTCCTGCAAGCTGATTGGCTGCAGCAGCGGGCAGCTTTTTACGATATCTTGACCGTGGTCCAAAAGAGTTATTTTTTAACGACAAACCAAGGAGTGAAGACAATTTTCAAACTCAAAACACTACCCAAAAAGTTTAAAAATCCACCCTAACGATACTAAAGACAGTAAAATACAGTTAATTGCCTTCAGTGGACTTAGTGCCAAGCCCGTGCTCTAGCCTGTGATTGGCTAAAAGCTCATACCTTATTATATGGTTTACACTTACGCACCGGCACTCTTACCATATCATAACCAGAGCTGCCGAGAGGGGGGGGGGGGAGCGGGACAATTTGCCTTGGGGCACCAGCTGAAAATGGGCCCCGAAAGCGACGAAGATTAAAATTTCTTGACACAAGATTGCTTAATTAACTGAGAAAATAAATCCTAGCTGCGTTAGTGCAGTATGCAATAAATTGTACGGCAAATTAAAAAAAAAAAAAACCCCGAAACGTATGGCGATTGAAAAAAATTGCACAACATTGCTATCCCTCCCGACCCCATCGCCAACATAAGAAACATTACGTTGGGCAAGTACTTGAACATTGGATAAATCAGTATGGCCGCTTCCGCAATTCTTTTTCTCCCGTACGCCTAAGCGTTTTGCAAATATGACGTCACAGGTCCGTGCCTCCAAGACAAAAGCGACTATAATTTGCATTCCCTTGCGCCGTAATGGACCTTTCACCTTTTGACTAAAATTTAGATTTCAACAAGTCTAGACAAAAATTTTATCACAGCTTGAAAGAGCATCACAAAATTAGTAATATTTCGAAGTTTCGTTGCGAAAT